GTGCTGTGTGTTTCTAGGCAGCGTTCTTGCAGCAACTTCAGAATGACTTGGTGTTCCCCTCGAGGAGCAGGCTTTCTGCTACTGCAGAACCACCTGTGCAGCTACAACTTCAGCAAAAAGAGCTCTTAATCTGTTACTGGTTTTCAGCTGTTGATCATTGGGATTGTCCTGCTGCTTTTTTTTTTTATAATCACTCTTAATATCTGAAAATATTCTGGGTATCTCTATAGATATTCTGCTAATCCTTGAGCAGAAGGATAAATAGAAGGATAACCTCCTGCTTGTTGTATGTAATAAGATGAGTGCTCTGCTCCATTGCCAGTGTTGTCTTGGCTTAGAAAATTAAAACGAGGGGGCTCTGAGAGGGCTGTGTCCATTCAGTCTTAGTCTGGAAGAAACCAAGGAAAAACTTGGTTCGGTTCTTTGGGTACAAATCTGCATATGAACACGCCTGCTTTACTGTCAGACTTGTGAATGTGGTCTTCAAGTTGGCAATAAATGATACTTAAAACATGTCACCTATTTGACTCTAAAATTGATTATCTTATTAATTATTGTATTATATATATGTAAAAGATTACTTACATTACAACTTTGTCATTAAAAAGAAGACTAAAACATGCCACATTCTTTTGTTCACAGCAATTCTAGAAAATCTTTCTTCTGTTACTGCTTGGATCTTGATTTTAAAACAGCACTTAAATATCATTTACTAGAAAAATTAGGGAACTGGATTCTAACGTTTCTGTCCTGTGAGACTGTTAAGCGGTGATGACAGCTAAATGTTCTTGGTACTTAATACTTACTCTGGGAAAGTTCTTTCCTTTTGAGTTGTATTTCCAGTTGCATTGTGTCATGAGACTACAACTTGAGTTGCCCTTGAGACCAGAGAGGTTTAGTGCAGTGAGCAGCTATCACTTCTGGTGCTATCCTCTTCCCCCCACCTAAATTCAGCTCAGTTTAACTCATTGTTTGGTTTTTTAATTTTAATTTACATACAGTGGGATATGGTAAGGATTATGAGAGTGGACTAGTATTTTAAATCAAAAGTTGAGGTTCTTGGTGATACAGTTTTGACTCCTGGCCTTGCAGCAGACTTAATTTTGAGTAGGTTGCTTATTTTTTACCTAAATAAAGAAGCTGTTTTGGAGTTAAGTTAGAGCTATTCCAGAATAATTCCATGTTGAAGTACACTCTTAGTTTCCATTTTCTGTCTTGTTTTCTGGATCCTGGTAAGCACTTGGGAGCTTGGAATTGGCAGTGAGAAGACTTGTGTGAGAAGCATCTTCAGTTTAAATGCTTCAGTCTTTGGTCACCGGCCAGCGTGACCTTGATTGTTGCGAGGTTATACCACTCTCTGTAGTTTGTCTTAACTTTGCTTTTCCTTCTGCTTGCATGGATGCTGCATGCACATCTGCTCTCCTGTGATTCTTGCAGGTTGTTTCTACTTGTAGAGCAGAGCTGAACTCTTCAAAAGTCCTGAAAAAATCTGCCTCTGAGTTTCATCATGTGAAATGGCATTTGTTGTGCGTCCCTGCTGTTTGGGGAATCCTGTGCTGTGCTTGGCAGTATCATTTGTCTAATTACTGCTTTATTTTACTTCTGTCTACGTGTGTTTTTGTTCTTTGCTGGTTTTTCCCACTTGTGTTGTTTTTTTCCGGCTCTGCCACATTTTACTGTTTCAAAGCTTAGCAAATGTAGTTCTTAGAGGAAGCTCCTGTGTTAAAGCTGTCAGCTGGACTCCCACTTCTGTATGTGGGTAGTGGATTCCCTCCTTTCCGAGATGCTCAACTGCCATCTTTGTGTATGGCTGAGGAGGAGAGTCAGACTGACAGGAGTAATGTAGAGAGGATTTTTGTCTTGTTTTACTTCGTGTCACAGACAGGAAGAAATTAAGCCTACTTAGTTGGCAGCGTGTGTGTCTTAAGATAGATGCTGGAAATCTCTTAACAGAGCTTTATTTTCTTTGATTTGGGAACCTGTAGCTGATCCTTCTGCAGTAGTTTGGAAAGCTGTGCTGCTTAGCAACTCCTGTTAGGGCAGCGAAAGCTTGGCTGGCCGCTGCCTCGGGCTCTGTTTCCAACTCTCTGAATTCTGTCTGGGAGGGAAGTAATCTTGGGTGGCTGAAAGCTATTACGGGAGTCTTGAGTCCCTGCAAATGACAGAAAATCTGGAGACTGCGAACGGAAACGAAAGTGAAGTTGGAAGTGACCTCTGGACGTCATCTAGCCTAACCTTCTGTTTGAAGCTGGGTGAGCTTGGAGGTTAGGTTAGGCTGCACATGGGCTTGTCCCGTTTAGTTTTGAAATTCTTCCAAGAATGGGAAATCTTGTTTCTCTGGGCAACCTCTTCTAGTGCCAAACTGCTCTGACTGTGAGAAACTTTTTCTTTCTACCTCCTTAGAATTTCCCTTGTTGCAATTTGTGACCGTTGCCGCTCACTTGTTCTGCTGTGTGCCTATGATGGTATGAGGAGGGCAGGGGGTTGCAGCTGCGTTCAGAGTCAGCCCAGTGCTGGAGCAGGCTGTAAAGGCAGGCAGAGAAGAGGAAAAACTGTTCTCAAAGCATGCTGCTCCAACAGGCTTTGAGGCATCGTTCTATCCTGCGAGGTGGAAGACTGTCACCAAGAGCTGTAGGTGGAGAGGAGACATTGTTTTCATCACCTTCTTGGTTTTTTTTTTTTTGTTCTGTTTGTGTTTTGGAAAAGTTTCATATTGATTTAATAGTAAAAAAAGTAAACTTTCTGAAGCTTTCCTTGTATTTCCCTGAGTGCAGTAAACGAATAGCTCAATCAATTCTGAGTACTGATAATGTTGGCAAATATTTATCGTGTAGTAGAACTGTTTGTGCTTTGTAGTTGATTCACCAATGTATTAGCTTGAGTGCTGAATGAGCAGGGGGCACTTGGCTTTCTGCAGAGCAAAATATGAATTGAGCGGTGTTTTTAATAAGAGTGCAGGTACACATCAGTGCCCTTGCGCGTGTGGATACAGCTTCTTTGAAGTACAGAGTGAAAGGAAACTTGCCAGCCAGAAAACTTCCTTCCGGGTGTGACCCATTAATTTACAGTAATTACTCAGTTGGAGCTCTTGGTTGATGAGACTGACATGAGTCACAGAAGAGGTAGGTACTGTTATATAGACCTTACCAGGATCCCTGGTTTATGCTGAAAACTAGGTGAGCGTGACAGGCTGGCTGGAGGGTTGTATATTTGTTCAGTGTGTTTAGGACTGGAGTTTCACAGATGGATTAAAGCTGTGCTGCTACCAAAACCAACATTTTTGCCTTCCTTTGCTGTCTTTGGCTGCCAGTTTCTGCTCTCCTGTACTGGCATGGATGTTACATGCCTATATAGTGAACTGTATCAGAATTGAACTTGGGGTGAAATAAGCTTTTGAGGGGCAATTTTTTTTTTGTTAGTTATGTTTGAAATAGTCTGATTTAGCTTGCTGCCTGGCTGCTTGTGGAGGGGACGAGCAAGCGAGGAGGAGGTGAGGGATGCTGCTGGACTGCTTCAGAGCATTGATGAGGCTGAGGCGCCCAACTTGACTGGGGAAAAAGCAGGACTCCAAGCTTCCCTCTCTAAATTTTTACTTTACAACTTACTTTCTGCCAGTGAATGTGTCAGAATGTTTCAGCCCTTCAGTTGTGGTCATACAGATTTCAGAGTGTGTTGGAGAGTTGGTGATGGTGCTGCTTTTCTAGGCTCGTACGAGTTTCCTGTTGCTCCTGTCAGTGCCAGTGAAACTGTGCTTGTCCTGTCCAAGAGGCAGTCCACAGAGTCGGTAAATCTAAACCCGAGTACCGCTCTTTCTGTAGTGCTAGAGGTGGAAAGGAAAGGAGGGAACTGCTTCCTCACCCTTGAGGTGCAATGTTGAGAAGAGATCCTGGACTCTGGTCTCAAGGGAATGTTTCCTGTTAATACCTCCACTTGTGGGTGGAATGATTTTTCTTTGGCCGTGACTTTTGCACTTTCCTGATTTTGTTTACACCTTTCTTGTGTTGATGGTACACCTGGTTTTATGTTGTTTGCTATCAGCACTGTCAACTTGATCAAAAGCGTATTGCTTTCTTCCTTAAACAGGCCAAACCACTTTGTAGCTGGACTTGCTTTGTGATGTTGCTTTTTTTTTTTTTCCTTTTTTCTTCTTTAGTTGTGTTGCTGTTGGAAGAGTTGTGAAACAGTTTCTGTTAGTACATGCGGTTGTTTCATTTTTCTGAGCAGGTACAATACATGAGAGTTTAAGCTTTTATGTTTGGAAAAAAGTAAATCTTGTGAATTCCGAGACAGCATAATTACTTTCAAAGTATGCAGTAGCAAGGAAATCCTAGGCTGTTAAGAGGATTCAGGGTCTTGAAAGGGTGAGAGCTTGGCAGCTCTTTGTGGGAGAAAGCACTGCCTGTGAGCCTGCTGTGGGCTCACCCAGGGACTAACTGTGAGCCAGCTGACAGAGAAGCCTTTTGTATGGGGTGCGGAGGCTGGCTTCGTGATGGTGGCAGTGGAAGAGCAGGAGCATGCAAGTAACTTACTCTGTGGGCTGGTTGCGTGGAGTTTTCATGTCAACCTGTTCCACTACCATCTTTCTGACTATCAGAGGAAATGTGGTTGTTTGTTTTTTTTATTGGGTGGATGACCTTGATAATATGCATTTTAACTTGGTATTACAGGGTTTTTTTCAGTGGGTTTTTTGGTGCTTTTATGAAGCAGCTTTATCTTTAGTGTGTCTTAGATGTCAGACATGAAGGATGCTTGTGAAGACCCTGTCTCCAAGCTATTCTTTCTTCTCTTACCACACAAGACAAAAGTATAAGAAAGTCTGCAGAAGGGCATCAGTCCTCTGCGAGAGCTGCTCAACCTTATCAAGATTCGGCTGCCTCAAGAACAAGTGGCAGCCCCAAGAGAATAAGCTGTCTCTTTTGAAGGTAGATTCAAAACTCTGGTGAATAGGGATTTTATTTTTTTTTAACCTACTTTTGTTTCTTTCACAGGTACGTGGTGAGGTGACAGCTGTTGAACCATGGCATTCAACAAGATTTGGTATACCATAGCCCTTGGACTTCTGCTGCCTTTTTCTTACGCCCATACAGACTTCTTCACTTCCATTGGTGAGACATGCTTTGGTGTATATGCTGCGTAGCCGAAAGAATTTCTTGGCAGCTCTCCAAACTGATACTGCAATGATGTGTTAATGGCATCCCAGGCTTTAATTGGTACAGAACTAAATCCGCTTACTAGTTCTTACAACCTTATTGACTTCTTTCTTTTGGGAGAAACATGCTTTGAGTTAAGTCAGTCCAGTTAGTCTAATGACCCAGGCTAGGCTTTGTATTCATTATGTGTTCTCAAAGGTGTTGGATTTTAAGGAAAGTTTTGCTGTGGACATATGTAGAAGCAAGTGAAACAGCTGTTAAGGGTACCTAATGATACCAATATGTTGGCATACTCTCTCTTGGGCTCCGATGGCCTGTGACACAGCTGAAGATGTGAACTGCATAATTTCATGATGAACCAGTTCAGCTGCCTGCTTGCAGGAAGTGAAGCCATTATTAATTAATAACAGAGTCCGTTAGGAGACCTGTTGAAGTCATGTGGGTAATCTTAACAATAAAATGCTGGAGTAGTATTGTATATCAAACGTGAAGGCTGTGTATATTTCTGTAGCTTTGTCTTTATTTGCTCTACATTATGTATGCTTGGATGAAAGATTACTCTGTTGCAGCCTACTTCCTTTTCCAAATGAATCCTAAATTAGTTCTAATAATAAATATGTGCTATTACGTTAATTCCCATGGCAACAAGCTTGGTCTAACATGAGATTTTCTCCTTCAAAAAAAATTAAAGGCAAGAAGCCTCACTCAAATACTCCTTTTTTTGAGCAATGATTTGAGCAAATGCAGAAGGACTTTGAGGAAGAAAGAGTTGAAGAGAGGAAGAACGCCTCTGATTCTCTTTTTTTTTTTTTTTTTTTTTGTTCCTCCTCCTCTAACCAAACTCACTTGTTTTCTAGGTCATATGACAGACTTAATTAATACAGAAAAAGATCTGGTAGTGTCACTGAAAGATTACATCAAGGCAGAAGAAAGCAAGCTGGAACAGATCAAAAAGTAAGCATCTTGTTTCGTAATGCTAATAGTTAATAATTTGGGTCCACCCTTATGTAAAAAGTGCCTCCCAAGGCTGATTAAATTTGTGGAATTTTTCCTCTGAGGCAAAGCTTAAACTAGCAGTTTTTGCTGGGTTTTTGTCCTAAGTTGTTATCTCCGAGCCGTTAGTTTGTTTTATGCAACTTTTTAATGATGAAATCTAATCTACCCACTTTCCGTACGATACCTTCGCTTCAGGACTCCTGCTTGCACGTAATTCCCAAGGGGATGCAGTTCTTTGAATGACAGTTTGCTCAGTGGAAACTAAAACCCAAGGAGTCTCCAAGTGAGCGTTACAAGGACTGCAATGATACACTCGATGTAAAAGTGCTGATGAAAAGCGTTGGTGTGACCATATCGCTCATGAAAGGCTAATCAATGAATAGTAATAACCCAGTCCAAGAGCAGAGTCTCTTTCTACATGCTATATTTAGATTTAAAAGTAAAATAAAACTTCTTTATTGCTTTTAAAAATAACAAAAGACCTGACCATTGCCATTACTATGTTGCTCGGCTCTATAGATGTGAGGACCAGAGCGCATTATGTCGGATCTTATCACAGCTAGAAATAAAAATTTTGTGTCGTGGAACGGGATGGTTTTGTGGCTTTCAAAAATGTGTATCAATCTGTCATGAGGATGTTAAGACGGTTTTAGATAGATGGCATGAATTTTATTTTAGCCTTTGTGTATTACATTCTGCCATCCAGGAAGAAAGATAGTTCTGTCAGACTGTATTTATTTTTATCACTTCAGATACAGAGTTGGAATTTCTCACAGGTTTGGAATGTTATAAGCATATTCTTTATAGCTACAAATTAAGATGGGAGCATGCCGATGGGACGTCCAAAAGTGTGTAAATACAGCTTATCATATAAGCATTGCAGCTCTGTTTTTATTATATTAGAGGTGCTTGCTGTCAGATCAGAGAAGTTAAGATAACTGTCAGAGAAAGAGAAGAACTTGGAAAGAACGCCAGCATCGTCGTGAGTTTGGGCTCTGTACTTTGGCTGATGGATATTGGTAGTTTGTGTTGACTTAAACTGAATGAAAGCTGATAATTCACAGATATGCGAGGGATGGCTCACGCCTTCTCGGTGGCTTGTGGCAGGGCCTTTTATGAAACAGAAACTACTTGAAAGAAATCCTGGTCTTGTGGTTGTGGCTCACAGTTGCAGTGACTTTCAGCTCCTCGTTAGGTTTGATAGTCATGCAGTGGGAAATGTATGATGGATTTGACCGGGTGCAATGGGAATGCACAATTTGTTGAAATTGGTTTCTTCAGTCTTCGGCTTGCTAGAAGCTGGAGTTGGCCCACGGGAGCACTTTGAGCACTCCGTTTTGGAGGGAACCCCTTCCCTCACGTTGCTGCTGGCAAAAACCCAGACAGGGGCTCTCAGAGCGCAGGAAAATGACGAAAGACAGCATGGGAAGAGTGAATGCAAACAGTGGCTCCTGTAACAGTTGTAAACCTCTACCTGTCTCAGGTAAAGCAGGCAAACTTAATGCAGGCATACCAAATTCTGGAACAAGCTGAATGCCGGCTCGTGTACAGGGTTCCCTCCAGGCTACAGATTTTGTGTTTGCTTTATACTGGTGTTGGAGTTTGGTGTTCTCTGTGGGGTGTGGCTTTTTAAAATTTAATTTTTCCTGTTTTCAAGGTGTTGTTACATGTCTTCGTGTTCTAGATCTGTGTTGTTTTGGGGGGAAGTTTGGTTGTTTTGCAGACAGGTAGTAGCCTAGTGCCGGTGCTTATAGCATGACTGATGTGCTTCCTGACTTGGGGCTGGAGCGGGCTCCCTGAATGTTTCCGTACAAGCAACAGATGAACAACAGGAGTTGTTGAAAGTGTGCTTTTTTCAGAGCGAGTTGGAGTTGTGAACGGTTTATGTCGTTAGAGAGGTTTGTGGAGTCAGAACTGTAGAAACTTGTTTGGGAGCGTGAGAACTGCGTGTTTCTTAATACAGGCTTATGGTGTGGAAGGCAGTTTTGTGGTGGGAGGCAAGGGCCTTGTCATAGGTTTAAGAGTGTGTTTAAACGTAAAATAATTTGAGACAAGCATTGAACTGCCTTTTTGTAAACTTTAGAAAAAAGAGCATTTAAAAATAAAAGATCAAAAATGTGGGTAAGTCTTTGTTTTTGATTAGTCCTGCATGAAAACTCATAATGGAACTGCTGGCGTGCTGCATTTGGTATTTGTAGGAAGGAGTTCGTTCAGCAGTGTTCCAACAAAGACCATAAGAGCAACACAAGATTTAGGCCTGCAGCTGAGGAAGATTTAAAAGAAAAAGAGAAAAAGAAAAAAAAGGCAAAAAAAAAAAAGCCCCTTTTGTTCCTTCTAGGAGAGCTTTATATATAAATAATATAAAAGCTTGCAATTTGTGTTGGTTTTTTTATTAGCAAAGACTGTTGAGTGGCTTGAAATTGGTTTTATAGCGCATTGGCAGACTTTTACAAGAGACTTTAATGAATATATGCTTTCACTATAGATGGGCAGAGAAATTGGATCAGCTGACAGACACGGCTACGAAAGACCCAGAGGGGTTTTTGGGACATCCTGTAAATGCATTCAAGTTGATGAAACGGCTTAACACAGAGTGGGGTGAGCTGGAGAGCCTGGTTCTGAAGGACATGTCAGATGGTAAGTCTGCCTGTAGTAAGAACAAGGATCACATTATAATTGCATTTAGTTGACTACATCTTTCACGTATCGTGGTTTGAATTGGATTTCTAAGTCTGCTTTTGAGGTGCCTTCATAACAAATAATCCTAGAAGACCTGCCATTTCACTGTCAGTGTGCTATAATTTGAGCTTTACAAAAATTCAGGAAAACTGCGGTGTTTAAACTGAAGAACCTCCTTGGATGCTTTAAATTTTGCAAGGGACCAGGGCTTGCTTCATGTACTCTCCCACTTCTTGTAAGCTAGTATTTTAGGAAATTTCATCTCTTAAGTGTGATGACTGTGTTGAGCAGGAAAAAGGGGACAAAACTCTTCTGAGCGCAAGACCTGTGGGGCTGTCTTTGAGTATGGTTGCTGTTGATATGCCCAGAGTTGTTAAGCTGTGATGGTTTGAAACCTGAGAGTTGGCAGAGGCTAGGTATTTGTGGAACTGATCTGAATTAATGTAGTAAACGCTTTGTTGCCTCTTTTCTTCAGCAAGAGTAGAAGTTCTGCAGTAGGGAACAGGACATAAAATAGTTGACTGTGAAAGATGCTTAGCAGTAAGGAAGCTGGGATGATTATATTTGACCTGTGAGAATCTTTCTCAACAGCTGACTAATACAAGGTGTAGGTTTGTAGTAAGAAATGATGAAAAAGTGGAGCTTTCAGAAGAGACCCGGTGTTAGTCTCTGATAAGGATTTAGCACATTCAGCTTCCCTGTTGCTGCTGTGAGGGACTGAACAGGTGGTGTGGTTTAACCCCAGCCATCAACTAAGCCCCACCCGGCTGCTTGCTGAGTCCTCCCCGGTGGGATGGGGAGAGAATTGGAAGGGTAAAGAGAGAAAATTCCTGGGCTGAGATGAAGACAGTTCAATAGGGAAAGCAAAAGCCTTGCGCGCAAGCAAAGCAAACCAAGGAATTCATTCTCCACTTCCCATGGGCAGGCAGGGGCTCAGCCATCTCCAGGAGAGCAGGGCTCCATCAGGCCTAACGGTGACTTGGGAAGACAAACACCATCACTCCCAACATCCCCTCCTTCCTTCTTCTTCCCCCAGCTTTATGTGCTGAGCATGATGTCATACGGTATGGGATATCCCTGGGGTCACTGGGGTCAGCTGTCCCGGCTGTGCCCCCCCAGCCTCCTCGCTGCTGGGGTGGGCTGAGAGGCAGAGAAGGCCTTGGCTCTGGGTAAGCCCTGCTCAGCAATAACTAAATCATCCCTGGGTTATCAACGCTGTTTCCAGCACAGATCCCAAACACAGCCCCATACCAGCCACTAGGAAGGAAATGAACTCTACCCCAGCCAAAACCAGCTCAATGTGCAACTGGGAAAGCTCTGTACCTGCCAGCCAGAAATCTGGACTAGTGCATCTTTAGTCCTTCTTCTGAGTCGGGGGGGGAGAGGTGTGTGGGAGTGTGTGCGCAAAGTGAGCTGTTTTGTTTTAAGAAAATTGTCAGGAAAAAGGAAAATTTTGGGGAAGCATAGCGTAGTAAAAGAAAGAATGCATGGAGTGAAAGGATATGGTATTTTTTTTAAAGCAGGAACACCTTTCTATAAATGAGTAGTGTTAGTAGGTCTGAACAGTTAAAAAGGACTACTAGAGTGTGGCACAAATCACAGATTTGGCCAGTTTGTTCTTTTTTGGATGGTTTTGCAGCTGACTGTTGCATACTACGCTTTGTCTGGTTTTGGTTGTGCTGCTTACTTTTCTGCTGGCGGCTATTAGATGAACTTAACGAACATCACGTTGACACTGTAAAGCTTGTTGTGCTGCTGGATGTCAGGACAAAAGAGTTTGTCGAATAGAAAAAGTTACTGTTCTGAAAATGCCCGAGCGGCCGTCAGTTTGTTCAAACTGAGGTCCTCATGGCGGACTTTGCTCTTTCTTTTGGTGGCTGCATGTAGCAGGATGGGGTTCTGCCCTCCTGGCTTTCTGGCGTTCTGTCTCCCTCATCAGTGCAAACAGCCCACCAGGCTCTTGACTCTGCAGAAGGGGAAAAACCAGGGTCAGTTCTCCCACTGTGTGTGTTCACCAGGGGGGAGTAGGAGCCTTTCGTGAGAGAGGAGATGATTACATGTGACTGTAATGACCGGGGAGCAGTTCCTAAAGAGAATATTTTTTTACTTTATAGAACCTGCTTGTCTTCTGTTCCATAAACAGTGCACCCTGGTGCTTCTTTAAAAAGCCCCCACATTTTTCGTTTTGATTGTTCCTTTGCTTTCTTTTCGCACAAATAAATGGAAATGCTAACTTTTCAATGTGCACCTTGAGTTCAATTCAGAGTTGTGTGAAGATGGATCTTGAGAAACCTTTTTAACTTTGTGTGTTCCTCAAGTTTCTATGTAAATACGTTAATGCCCAAGGCCGCAGAAAGCAGTTAGGTTCATAGTGGCTGCTTAGTTGCCTAAAGTCTTGTTAAAAGCTGCTTGCAGTTAGACATCAGCATTTTTGGTTTTCATCTTTTTATTGACCAGCCTTAGTCTTTACACTGCTATCCTTAGCACTGTTTGGTTTCCTCCTCTTCTAATTTCTAAATTCCCTGTTATGAAATGAAAAGCCTTTTGGAAAGCAGATTGAGTGGAATGGTTGCAAAAACTACCAATATGTTATCTGTAACATTCTCCATGTGGAGGTGGTCTTTTTGTTTTATGTAACTTTTTTTTTTTTAAAACCTGTTAAGACAAAAATAGATTCTGCGTGGAACTGAAGGGGTATTCCTGTCCTTTAGAACCAAACTCAGGGCATCTGCTGGTGCTCTGCAGGGCTGATAGCACTTCCTGACATATTAATGGCCTTTCCTGAAATGTTAGCTTTCTCTGGAGTAGGGAGTCATTTCATTTCATGCTTAGAGCTTATAGCGTTCTTGGGACGAAGAAGGCCAAGTGTTTCACTGTCTTTCCCAGGCTTTATCTCCAACATGACTATCCAACGGCAGTTTTTCCCAAACGATGAAGATCAGACTGGTGCAGCAAAAGCACTTTTACGACTTCAAGACACGTATAATTTGGACACAGACACCCTCTCTCGAGGGAATCTTCCAGGTAAGAGTCATCGATGTTATTTTCAGAAGACACTGTCACCTTTTACTAAATGTCCTGATGACAGACCATTTGACTTTGTTCTATCTTGTTTTAACCGTGTAGTGTGAAGGTAACAATAGGAAAACATTGGAGCTAGGTAATACTTTAAGAAAAGCGGCGTGATGTGGGTTGTTGAAGGTTGACATGGATGTCAGTTCTAATTCTGCCACATCTTCAGAGAAAGGAACCTGTTGCATCAAGCTGTGGTGGTGAAGAGGAACCCAGGAAGAACTGACCCGCTCTGGCGTACTGTTGGGTCTGTTGCGGTGGTGGTTCTGTTGGAACTACATCTGCTTGGCTTCCCTGCCTGGTGGGCTGGCTTCTGCCAGCACGCTGCCCAAGTGCACATGGATAAAAGACACTTCTCAGAACTCAAGTTTCTTTCTGAATTGAGATCCTTCTTTGTCCCATTAATTCTTCTCATTTTCTGCTTGTGCTAGAACTTGAAAATTTCTTTTTAGTTGAAGCCTGCATCTTTCTTCTAGTTATGGTAAGATAATTCAGTGTTAATAGTTTTTAGTAAAAAATCAACAGCAATAAAATCTTGCCTGGATGAGAATTTTCCTCGTGTTGAAGTAGTTGTGCACTGGTGGATACCTAGTTTCATTGCACAATGTAATGCATTTTAACAAAACAGTTGTAGCACTTACTACCCCTTTCCCTCTCACGGATAAGATGGACCTTTCACATTGGGAGTGACTGAAGTTTCTTTGAGCTTAAACTTCACGGAGCATATAAACTGAAAAACAGAAGACAGAGCGCATACACAGACTTGAGCTTACGTGGCGTTACCTGAGGCAATCTGTAATAGGTCTATATGCAGGAGAAGACACGCTTCTTTCTTGTTAGAAGATTTTTTTTTTCTCTGCTGAATTTTCCTTGTTTCCTCTGAAAACAGTACTGTGCCAACTGGCAAAAAACCCAGTCAACTCTGTACAATCCATCTGTGTTTTTGCAAGCATTCGTTGTGGGCAGATGCCTAATAAAATTAAGGGTAATTGGCTTTATATGTTATGATGTATAACCTTGCTTTTGGGTTTAGTTCAAGACTGTCTCGGACCTACAGATTTGTTCTAATACAATAAGCAGTTCGTTACTGTTTTCTTAAAACAGCACAAAAATGCAAGATGAAGTGCTTCGGGCGGAGTGTAGTTTACTGCTTCTTTTGAAGCAGTAAGCTGTCCAGACTGTGTGTAATAAAGTGTAATTGCAGAATCGTGAAGTTGTAGGGTAGAAAAGAGACTAGATTGGTCTCTTCAGAGCTCCAGAGAGGAACATCCCATGTGGTCCCTTGTTTGTGCTCCTTGTCTTCCTTCCCAGGGAATTTCTGTTTGGCCAGGTTGCCCAGTTTTCATCAGAATCTCAACTACTGTCGTATTGCTTATTAATTCTCTTTCCTACATTACAGACCGTGCTGTTTCCTTCTGTTAACTACCAACCCTATTTGATGATTGCTGTCTTAAGCACCCTTTTAAGAGTTGCCTTTTCACGTGTGGATGTTATGTTGCTTCTAAATGTACCAGGCTATGATCCTGCAACCTGTTACTCGTTCCAGAGGATCGCTCGCTCTGAGCGCACTCCGCTGCCACCGCGCCCGATTCCCTAATCTGTGTTATTTTAGAGTTTGCGGCTTCAGGCTCAGAAAATGACATCCCTGGCCATCACAGGAGGGACCACAAGGTGTTTAATTCGTGAGCAGAAACAAAGTTGTTCTGTGGGATACCGCGTTTCATCGACTGTCTCTTCAACTATTTAATCTCTTAAGGCATGTCTTTAACAGAGGAATTCACCTATTTGAATGCAGCTGTAGGAGCTGCTATTAGAAAGTCAGGATGTATTAAGATGTAATCAGGAATGTAATTTTAGCTGTAAAACTGGCAGGTCCTGTTTCCTTTTTACAAGATGAAATTTGGTTTTTCACTGGGCCTTAATTTACAGCGGCAAAAACAGGAATCTGTAATTTGCTTACTAGTGCTTTAATCTTTCAGAGGTCTCTTCAAATGTTTCTAAAAATGACTGACTTCAAAAATTCTTGAGCAGCTGGGAATTTAATGACTGACATTTTCTTTTTCCTCCCCCACTAAGTTGTCGCTAGCAAGATGTGCTTCAGTAACGTTTTGAAAGTGATAATGCAATCTCTTTGAAAACAGATTTCTGAAACTTTGTATTTGACTTACTGTTGCTCTTGCTCAAAGTGTTTGGGGTTTTGAAGAAGGAAGGTTTATTATTTTTTTTTAATTATTTTCCACTACTGGTAAAGACATTTAGCTAGTTGCTGGTGTTCTGGCAATGGAAAACTGCATCTAACCGCTTATGTGTTCTGCCAAGGATTTACAGGCTTTTGGTACTTAGCTGAGTCTTCAACGAATAGCCACCACGGAAGGGAGATGTTGAAGAACAGAAAGACACTGTGCTGTGAAGAATAAGAAATAACTGAATGCTACTCTGAAGACCGCTCTGGAATTCTGTGTAAAGTCTGTTTGGTTTGGTTTGTTTTAAATACAGGTGTGAAGCACAAATCCTTTTTAACCGCTGAAGATTGCTTTGAGCTGGGAAAGATTGCCTACACTGAAGCTGACTACTACCACACCGAGCTCTGGATGGAACAAGCTCTGAAACAGCTGGATGAGGGAGAAGTGTCTTCTGCAGATAAAGTCTACATTCTGGACTACCTGAGTTACGCCGTGTATCAGCAGGGAGATCTGGGCAAAGCCATGACGCTCACCAAACGCCTTCTGGAACTGGGTATGTGAAAGAGAGATCTGCGACTCGCCACGGTCTAGCTCTGTGTTGGAGCAGGTGCTAGCTGTGGATTTGTACTGAGGAGTGCGCTCTTGCCTCTCTTCTGACTTGTGTATGGGTTTTTAGAATGGATTAGTACTGCCGTTAGCGTTAACATTAACAGCTTGATGTGTAGCTGTCAGGAAAATAAGACTTGTGTTCCCAAAGATCGTATCTTGCTACCATATTCTTAGATGGACAATTACAGTCTCAACTACCATGTCAGAAAGTGTCATGGTTGAGGATTGCCCCTTTCTATGGAAGTATTTTCTGCCTCCCCTCACTGTCGGCTTCGAACCACTTACCCGGCCTAGTCATCGCTGCCTGAAATTTGGTTCTCTTACTGTATCTTACTTTCCTGCATTGAGATTACTTCCCCTTAGGTACTGGCAAGAACCAAATTAATTAAATTGAAACTAAATTGGTGATACCAAAATCTCTGCAGATTATTTAAATGCAAATTAAGCATACTTGAGCTGAAAAACTTGGAAAAATAAGAAATACAGAATGTAATACAGCTAGCTAAGATTCTGTCTGTTGTACGAAATATGAAAAGTATTTACGCTTCTGTAAATATTCCACTGATTGACTGCGTAAAGGATGATGTGGGAAATTCAGAACTAAACCTAATACAGCAAAGGCTTGCGATGAACCTTTAGTAATGAACCGAAGCTCATTCTGTAAGTGTAGTGATTGTCAAAAGCTTTGTCACCAGAAATCTTAATTCCCGTCAGAGAAGTGTGTAGGTTTAAAGCCAATCATACTGTTCCAGCTCTCTGCCTGTCCCGGTTCCTTGTCTCTCCCTTTCTGGTGAGGTTGGTGGGAACGGCCAAACCCTTTTCCTTAGCGCTCGGACCCCTGTGCGTGCTGAGGATCCAGGCCTCGCAGGAAGCAGGTTCTTAACTGTGAATGAGTTGAGCTTAGCTCTGAAAGCTCGTTGTGTGTTTTCCTGCAGGCGAGTAAGGATATGTGCGTGCTGCAGGCTAGCATCGCTTCCAGCTCAGCCCGGCGTTTTAGCTATCCTGTGAATGCTCTCAAACCAGAGTAGATGCTTCTCATTTCTATTTGAGAAGCAGCAGTGTGCATCTGTTTTCTTTTTGTAAATAGCCTCTTTGGATACTTCTTCACAAGTTGGAAACGTGCCAGTGATACTTGTCTGTTTCTTTGTCAATAGATCCTGAACATCAAAGAGCAAATGGGAACATGAAATATTTTGAATATATCATGGCTAAAGAAAAAGAAGCAAATAAATCCAGTACAGATTCAGAAGACCAGATGGAGAAGGAAACTGAGGTTAAGAAAAAGGATTACCTGCCTGAGAGAAGGAAGTACGAAATGCTGTGCCGTGGGGAGGGTCTCAAAATGGTAAAGTGGAGTAGACTGTTTTCAAATGTACGAAACCAACCGTAACAAAACAATGTCAAGAATTTGTACCTGGCATGAAAGCAAGGAAGTTGTTACAGCAGTTGGCGAAGTGTGTGGAACTTGAGGATTAGTGTGTGTTGGATTTCTTCCTTGTTTCATTCTGTCCAGTAGACAAAAAGTAATACTGCCACAGGCATTGCTGACTAATTTGGATGCGCTACATCATTGTAGTTAATTGAATAAGGATGCTGGAAGTCTTAGATTTACATGCGGAATTGAATGAGGGTGTGTTTTTAGTGATAAAATTATTTGTAATAGGACTGTGTCAAGTACTGCTTGTCCCAGTATTGCAGAGTAACATTAATGTGCTTGAAAGTCCTCATTTCTCAAACTTAAAGCATCTTTAACTTGTAAATGATGTGAAGGCAGGGAAGGCAAATTGTTCCTGTCTCTTGTTCTCAGGACATCTTCTGTTTCATATGGAAGTTCTCTGATTATCTGTTGCTCCGCCTTGCTTTCAGACTCCTCGGAGACAAAAAAGACTCTTCTGCCGCTACTACGACGGAAACAGAAATCCTAGATACATTCTGGGCCCCGTCAAACAGGAAGATGAGTGGGACAAACCTCGAATTGTTCGCTTCCTTGACATCATCTCCGATGAAGAGATTGAAACTGTGAAAGAACTAGCAAAGCCGAGGGTAAATGCTTTACACTTCTTTGCCTTTTGCAATCTTAAATTTCACTTGTGGTTTTCTGTGTGAGTGTGTGCAATTCTGTCTCCTCTTGAATGCAGATGTGTGTGCGGTGTGCTCACACGTCACTTTTCTCACCTTGTAGCTCTTGGTGACGCACTCTTTGAAGGAGATGGGGGGGAAGCTGGAAATTCTGTGTAGCTGAGAGAGCCAGGCAACAACAGCACGGGATTGTCAGACTCTCCCGGCAGACACAGTTTCGGTGCATGCTGTTTCAGATGAGGACGAGAATGTTCTAGAACAGAAAAGAAACGTACTGCAGCTAGGTTGCCTTGAAGTATACCTGTCATTTGGTTTTTGTTTGGTATTCTGGTTGGCGTTTTTTCTTTTTTAAGTCTGTAGTTGCCAAAGTTGTGACATGGAGAGGAGTGCCGTCCAGGGAAAGGCAGCCATTCCTCTGGTCCTGTAATGCCACTTACTGGATGGACAAGAATGAATGGTGGTATTCTCCGTTCAGTGTAAAACTGACTTCTGTCTCCCAGGCTTTGAAGTCACCTGCAGATGAAAGAGCTTTGAGAGGGCAGTAGTTAATCAGTGGTACTCAACTGCTTATTCACAATGCTTGCTCATCAAATGCTGTGTCGGAAACTGGATCCTGAGGTTCTTGTTTCTGAATGCAGAATAATCCAGGGCAGTTCAACTGTCAGAGTAACCAGGAGCGTCCAAGACAAACAGCAACCTGAGGGAGTTGCCTTCTGTACCCAGTTGGTGCGACTCTGCGTCTCGAGGTGTGCACTGAAGATGTGGTTAGTTAAATTGATTGATTTTTCCATTGATTACCAGTTACTTCTAAAATAAGATTTAAACTTGTAGAAATACAATTTTTCCCTTTGTTTTTAGCCTAAATGGCTTTTCATCCAGAGCGAGCTGAGCAAATGGAGATTAGAGGGATAAGTGCATTCAGTGTAGGACAAACTGTTAGCTTGATCTGCTGCAAAGTAAACCAGCTGTGGGTTATACGTGGGTGCATGGAGGATGAGGCTGACCTTGGCCACCACACTGAGTAGTAGGTAGCCTGAAGCGATTTTAAAGCTTCCTAAAGGCTGATGCGTTGTATTTCTGAGGTAATGTTCTGAACTGTAAGCAAGAAGTACAAGCAGTTCTCTTCACGTACCCGTAGAACATCTCTGTCTGCTCTCCTGTCAGGCAGGCTGGCTGCAGGTCTAAAAATCAGAGCCTTGGTTGTTCGTCTGTAGGTGATGAAGCCCCTTTGCTGCTTCAAAAGCCCTGGAATGCGACTGAAGCAGTTCTTTATGGAGTAGAAATAAGTCTCAGCACTGAAAACAAAAACCTGCAAACGTGGTGATTTTAACTGCTGAACTTGCTGAGACAATCATTTTCCTATCAAGTGTTTGGCTCGTGGTAAAGACTTGGAGATTGATAGTTCATTAACGTAGAAGCATCTGCGTGCAGTTAGTGTTCCACGTATTTCCTACGGCCGAGACTTTGCAGGGCTCAGTAACGCGTGTAGCAAGAGGACTGTGGGTTTTTTGAAACGGAAAGGTCATCTCCTTCCCGATGCTCAGGATGTTACCTTTGCTGCCTCTCGGAAGACAGCGCTGTCCGATCTGTGCCCGGCCTTCTGCTGTGCTGGCAGCATGAGCTGGTAGGATGAAGCCACCTTATTTGGCTTTGGGAGGCTCGCTGGAATCGTAGTTTGTGCCTTGATTCTTGTATGTGTCTGAATGGGACGAGAGGAGAGGCAGCATATTAAGAGCTCCCAGTATTTTTTCTTGTTCGTAGGCATGGAGAGGCCTTGATTTACTTTAACAACAGAAGAAGACTTCTAAATGTTTGCCACTTGGGTATGCCATTTTGTGCCTCTACCAAAATTTGGGCTCTGCAAGTCGGCCTTTCCAGTTAGGAATGGTGGAGAGTGTCTGATAGCACATGAACATAAGGCTCGGAATCAGGGATTAACGTAGGTGGGGTGGCGTCAAGTGAATGGAGCGCAGCAGAGGGAAGGGAAGGCGTTGAACCAAGAGTTCTCGCTCTGCGTAACTTAGGAATACGACATAAACGTGTCCACGGACTAAGCAACTAGTTTGTGGTAGCAGTCAGTGGTAAAGGTGTCCAGTGCTGCTTTTGGTATAGAAAGAATCAAAAAGGTTGGGTTTTATTCATCTCTATACAAGATCACGGTGTTGCCTGGATTCAATTTAACAGTAAAAATCATCTTAACGTGCACAGGACAGAGTGCTAACAAAGGACCAATTGTACACATGCCGTAACGTTGTACCGCTTCCAGCAGTTGCTGCAGTATGAAGGAAATGAAAGTTTCTAGTTTATTTTATGCAGACGACTGTTCTTCTTGCTACAGAAATGGAAACGTTACTTCCTGGAAAACTTGATCTTCTCTAATGCTCTATTTAAAAAAAAAAAAAAAAGAAAACCAAAAAACGCTAAACCACTCTCTTTTAGTGAAATTGGAGACTTCCCTTCCTTCCTCCATCACTGCTTTATGAATTTCCACCCCCTCCATAAAAGAAAAAACCACCGCAAAAGGTGACGGTGACGGGGTGGCTTGTGTGGCGGCTTGCGTGACATTTCCCCGTAGGCTTCTGAATGGTCGGATTGCTGTGATGCAGTATGTGCTTTGTAATGCAACTATTCTGATGGTTCGCTTCACAGCTGAGGCGAGCCACCATTTCAAACCCCATAACGGGAGCCTTGGAGACGGCACATTACAGAATTAGCAAAAGGTAAGAGAGCTCTATGCCAGATGTTTTGGGCCTGTAATGAGTGCGTAGATTCTGCTCATTATGGGGAAAAAAGAGGTGGTCTTAAAAAGACAACTTTGGCTTTGCAGTCCACCGCTTTATGACGTGCAGATCTGTAACAGGCTGTTACTGCTGAGTTTCTCAGTCTTTTCCTTCAACTGGAAGTTCTGGGCGTGTGTTTTAATTTCCTCTTTCTTTGGTCACCTTCTCTGTGTGTGTTCTCAAATGATGATCTGTACAAGCGGGTCTCTACAATCAGTGTAAACAGTACGTGATACTACCAAACCTTCAGCAGAATCTAGATTTTCTTACTTTTTTTAAAAAAAAATATTCCCTTCCCCTTGTTCTTCTTGTCAACGAAAAATAGCCCTCCCTTTCCTTGTAAAATCTAGCAGGCCACTTGAAGTGCCTTTACATGTGTTAGGAGATGCTTCAAGTCCTTACTGCGCCTGGCAGCCGGAGTGGCATGCAAAACGCGCGTTCGTTAGTCTCGCAGCCTTTTGTCATCTGAGATAATGCCGTACTTCTGTCTGGGCTCTTTCACCTCCTGCCGACACAAATCTGGTGGAACGCAAGCTCGTTTTCACCGGGCTTCTGGTTCTTTCCAGCTGGTCTGTTAAGTACTACAGGTCTGGAATTCAGCCAATGTTTTCCAAAACTGGCTGGCTCTAAAGGAAACCCCCTGCCTGCCCCCCACCCGGTTTTAGTAGTGGCGATTAAAGACTTGGCCGTGCATTCCATCAGCGTTAAGGCAAAATTCTGAAAGGAGGTAAACTTCTGGGTGAAGAGGAATTGTCTGGGAAACTCAGCATCATAAATTATTTGCAGAAAGTCTCTAGTTTACAAAAAAAAAAGAAAAAAAAAAAAGGAAAAAAGTGAAAGGACAATCTAACCAAATTTTTCCAACCAATTTGTTTTGATTTGGACATGGCAGCTACAGCTTCTGTTGCCCTTCTAATATTGCTAATTTAAGAGCATTGCATACCATCCAGACCAATCGGAACCCTTTCAAACACCTGTGGCTTGGCAAAAAAGCAGCCTACGAGGTGGGTAAGCCCTTGTCCTTTCTCTTTTTGTAGCTGAGCCGGGCTACTGTTCATGACCCTGAGACTGGGAAACTGACCACAGCACATTACAGAGTCTCTAAGAGGTAAGGGGAACGTCTTCCAAAGGTATACCCAGTCCGAGGAAGTCTGTTCTGGGGCTGCACTGCTTCGTCTCTAAACACGGGGCAAATAAGGATTTGGCGTAACTTTTCTACTCTTAGTCTCTAGAAGAAAGGGAACGGCCTAAAGCCAACTGAACTGTCCTAGAACAAAGCAAGCGGTCTGCTGAAATAGAAAATAGTTCTCCGCGTTAGCGGTAGGCGAGGTGGAAGTGCCCTCTTTTGCTTAGCATGGCTTGTC